CCGAACAGATAACGTCTGCGGACAAATAATCGTAAGTACTTTCGCACCTTTGTTTATTTATCTGCAGCTCACAAAAATACTTCAACTTATTTTGTAGCATGATAACTTTAACCAGTAAGGACAGCCAAGTTCTCTATGCACAATCGTCTGTCTGAATTTTCTTCAACGATTACAAGTCGAGAGAGCTTACGGAGATTTAGCCACTTGTGAGATTTTTAACCATTTCAAAGTATTCCCGTTATTTCTTTCAACTGAATTAGCGGTAAACGCAAGAAGATGTATTGAGTTCTAATATTTTAATGATTCCTCGTTTCTCTGTAGAAAAAGGACATCCTTTCATTATTTCATTTTATTTCGACTGAAATTTGCACAAACCTCTAATCTCTCCAAAAGTCCGTAAGGATCTTCTATTTCTGAAGGAACGTTCTTTTTGGCGTGAGGCCATTCTCGGAGCCTCTCTATCAACGCAGTTAACCCATCAACCTCAAATCGAGTTAGATACACTGCACGCCACGGTGTCTTGTCTTCTTCTTCATTCGTTTCAGATGAATTCACAGCTTCATCGTTGTCGCCTTCATCGTGATTTTCGCCATTTACCTCCACCTTGGCTTCGTTTCCTTTGCTTTGTTTCTTAGGAGTTCCCTTCTTTCTGCTAAGTTCTTCCGTGTCCGTTTTTTCTTCTTTAACTTTGTTACCGGTTTTAACAGCGCTTCCCTTCTCTGCATTCTCCTGAGCTTGTCGCGCGATGGCCTCGTTTCGTGCAACTCGACTGGACCGTCTTCGCCCGGGTGTGTCTGTTTTATCGTCCTCCTTGTTTTCTTCTTGTATAGAAGCACTGGTTTTCTCATCGTCTTCTAGTACATCACTTCTAGCGGATCGTTTGCTTGCTTGTTTTCCTTTCGGGGTAACACCAGCGTCTCTTTTCTTAGCTGTGGCCGTATCCTGTTTGTTTTGATCTGCTTTTGGTGTCGGCTTTAAACCTAGTTCTTTGTTATTTCGCTCCAGCAGTCGAACATACTTGTCAGCGGCGTACCACATGATCTGCGCCAAAAATGGATAACGAAACTTGAGAGGGACCTGGAAACAAAAGCCATCAACTAGAATTAATGTACCATGATGATATCTGATATTGACATGATAAAGCGTGACAATTCAGTTGGTACATCGAATGTAGTCGTTTGGCGTCGTCACGCAACGCTACTCGTCTAAAGAATGCTTCCGTAACACTGAAGAGGACAAAATCGAAATATGAAGCCAACGTTTCTCGAACAATACTTTAAGGCGGGAGAGCAAAAAACGTATCTACAAGTTCGATTATCTAGAACTGAACTTTGTGTTTCCAAACGACTTCTCCGTTTCAAACAGGTTTCCTAGAACGAGGTTGCCCTGTGGCTCCACTGTGGTCACTCGATTATTAAGACCGAGCTATTTAAAATAAAATACTTAAGTTTAATAATTTGACCATGTTTGTAAGTGGAAACTCTTTCTAATCATGGATGTGACACCAACAACAAATTACGAGTAATGTAAAATACTGTAAACATCGAATTGCAGAAATTATTAAGGTATAAAAGTGCAAATTATAACCAACTCAATACGTAAAAGGTTCTATAAATAATCTTGACTTTGGGTTCACACAAGACAACTTGTGAACGGAATAAAGGAGCACTGAAAGTACAAGAAAAAGAAAAAGTACTCTTGTGTTTTTATCTAAACTAGAAAAGAATGTTATTTTTTATCTTCAAAAGAGTACAGAAAGCAAAGAATTTTTCAAACAAAAAGATCTTCACTCTTGAAATTTCCAGAGAAATTTTTCAAGTTCATCCTTCCTATCTGTTTCCACGCTAGCATCAAACCCACCATCAAATAAAAGAAAAAAAAGAAAAGAAAAATAACTGATTTACCTTAGTATTGTCCTCGATCTCACTGATTTTAATTTGTCTTGGAATGTTAAAACTGTGTACGAAATTTCCACCAAACACAAGCGAGTCTTCGGGAGTAAACACAGCATGGATCCAGCCTAAATAAAAACATCATAAAACCATGAAAATCAACATTGAGCTTCAAGCGCAGCAGGGTTACGCTCCGAATGTGTACGGGACAAGAACACATCAAACAAAGGCTGCGAACGACACGTACATTAATACCCTGTCCACTTGAAAACAAACGAAGGAAAGAAGGTAAACTAAGAAAGGAAAAAACGCCGGTATTTCGACTGTTAAGCAAGACTGCGTTTAGTGATGATCTCACCTGAAGGAATCAAGAATGTATCGCCTTTTTCCAAGTAAGTGCGGCAGCACTTTTCGACTTGATCGCCAAAGAAAACATTCTGTTGTTTTCCGGACAAAACCCACTGCTCGTACAAATGGAGATTCTTTTCGGTGGGTGGAATCAGCCAGAAAACCTGCAACATGGAAAACGATTTAATACAACAGGGTTATACTGACAAGGATCGAACACAGATCAGCTCTATAGGCAGACCGGCGCAGTTAGAGCAAAAGTCAGCGTAGTTGCAAGTATAAGATCACCCCCTCCCCCAGGAAACTTGAATATCATCGTAAAATATATTATACCTAAAACCTGTGTTTCTTTGATCATGCTGACCATTTTCTAGTCTCCTTTACAGCATTTTCAGTTGGATTGTCACGCAATGGAGAACAAATTGTGAGATGATCCATTAATTTGCTAAGGAACTGGATTACAAAAGTGATTTTTCGGGGGGGGGGGGGAAAGAGGGGAGGGAAGGATGGAAAAAATAATCCATACAAGTAAAGGTGTTTGGAAAACAAAATCAAGCAAACCTTGCAAAAACATTTACTGCGAATGAGTGTTTCCCTTCAACTTGAACCAGAAATAAGTCAAACAACCCGAGAGATCAATGCTAAAAAGAAGAAGGACAGAGACATTCGACTCGCCCGTACCCAGACCTCCAATGAGGTAGGATTTGTTGATTGAGACTCGACCTGGTCTAAAATAAAGAGTCAAAGAGGATATTCAAGTAACACTTCATCCAGGCAACATCAGTAGGGATAGTGGAATGGGAAAAGTAACTGATTTAGGGACGTCTCAAAGTAATACACTTTGATTTTGTAAAAAGTATTTACTTTTGACTTGCAAAAAAAAAAATTACAAGTGAATGTTAGAAAGTATCGAAAAACACAGACTTTCAAAGTGTGAAACTTCCGGTCAGTTTCTTCATCTAATGTAAAATGTGAAAGAAAGGTGCCTTTGCAGAGTACTGTCCATTACATCACCACTTGCTTGTCGTTGGTGTCGTCAAAAAAACGAACTTATGACTTTGAAGTACTCGATTGGCCCGCGACTGTCATCTCTCTTCGATCATAGGGAAACGTCATGTTACTTAGCAACATCTCTGACAAAAATGCGGGCTCAAACCAGTATCAACAAGCGAATTTTCACCGAAAAATATAGATATTCCTCTAATTACATAATAAAAACAATTTGCTCTGGAATTATAACACTGGAATCGAACTAACCTTTTTTCCCCTCATGATGTGGTACCACACAGATGTGCCACCAAAGTCGATGTGAAAGTCAGTGTAACAGCCTCCTACGCTCATCAAAACGTATCTAATGACGAAGGAAATGCATCGGGGATATGATAAGTTGTCTGATTAAAGACAGGGGAAAGCGAATTAACTCTCCAGTAATTTTAAGAACTAAAATAACCCATGAATCACCTTCGGAATGTTATCCCTCGTGAAGAAATGGAACACCACACGAGGCAAAGAAAAATTCTCTTGACCTCGGAAAGAGTCGATAGCACCACAATTAAATTAGATCACTGTTACTCAGGTGTCTCAACGTACAACAGAGAGATGTGATATTTGGCCGTACTGATGACATTGGTTCAATAACCATAAAATCAGTGACCTCTCGTAAATTTTCAATTAGTTACGAACGATTTTGCTTGGACATAAATTTGAAGGGAGTGAGGCTTTTCCTTGACGGGATGTTGGGGCTTTAAAAGGGTTGGGCCTATACAAGTATCAAAGTGAAAACGTGTAATCTTGCTATTTTGTGCAAGCCAAGCAAATACAAGCTCACACGAGTTCAACAGTGATTTGTCAAGAGTGATTTGTCAAGAGTATTTTGTCAAGAGTGATTTGTCAATAGCGATTTGTCAAGAGTAAGTTGTTCTTTGTTTTTGTTTTTGTTTTTTTTCGAGGGGAGGCGATGGACTACTTTGGGAAGTCTACCTCTTCATTCTTGTTCTGGAGCAACAAAGAGAAAATTACAGTAAACAAATGGTAGCTTGATCTTCTCCACTGAACGTTACTAAAAATGTTCCTATAAACGTACCACCTGGCCTGCGTATATCCCCAAGATACCCTGGTGATATCATGATTTGTAGCTGTATACGGACACGTGTAGTCGAAGTTACTTAGAAATAACAACAGTATTTATATCGACAGCTTAATAGCATCTCCAAAGACCCAGTCCGGGATAAATGTCGTTTACGAGAGTGAAGGGTGTAAATAGGTTTTAACTGGTAGTTGTGAAATTACCCAAATTGATAATATTGGTTAAGAAAAGGAGAGGTTTATTTCACTGACACCGGGAAATCTGAATACGTATTTGCCAAGACCGTGAAATTGCTGTTGTACCCCAGTTACAGTATACCAACCCTGATTTTCACTTTTTTTTTTCTCTCAATTCACGAGATTAGAAGAAAGGAGAAAGAAAACTGAATCTGTGGGACCAAGTTTTTGTTGACTAAAAGCTGAGATAAAGCCAAAATTTAAACTAAGAGTTGAGCAACTCCTTTCAGAGCCTCAGTAACGTAGAGCTAATTACCACGATGGAAAACTGTTTCATTCCAGCGTCAAATATGGTCATAATTATTAATATTGATCTCAATTCTCCTGCGTTTGCTTCATTCCTCCCCAATCCTTAGAAGGACCTATTGAACAGCTATCGCGATATGAAACAAACAGATCGCATATACTCCATATTTTGTAAAGACGTGTAATTTTCGGAATGACGATGAATGTTCCTAATTTTTTTTGGAGGGGGGTGGGGGCCTTTTAGGCCTGAAATTTTGACGTTGGATCAAAGCAATTATAAAAAAAAGTTTCTTACAAAAAAAGAGCATGAAGCCAGTAATGAGGAGCCATCTAACGTGAAGAGTCAAAACGACTTTTATTATTTACTGATAAAATGTACAGCATCGTCCATTGGGCTGATCAACATAGTGAGCTCAATTCTCTCCAGCGTATTAAAGAGAAATCTCACATTATCATCTGTCTGAAATTTTTGTTTCATTTCAAAGCTGTTGCGCAAGAATTGAAAGTCGATACTTGTGCGACTGGACGTCTGTCTTATAAAAGATAAGCAAAATCATATATTTAGACCACGAGGAATAACACCAGTATCCAGTATAAATATAAACAAAACCAACCTGCCTTTTTCTTTTAATATATTTGCCCTACTGATGATGAAAAACTTTGATGTTTTCACGTTTAATTGTGCAAATCACAAGTTTCTACTTCATAGTATTTCCTTTCTTGAAGCTTTTCCCGAGTGCAAAATTACACTGCAGCTTTAACGCGGCCATCTTGGTTGGTAGGCAGACTTGTGATGTCTGGAGCAGGTTTTACAGGAATCTGATATCAACTACTTCACTGGGCTGCAGAAATTGACATTATGGCGAGAACAATCCTAAAACACAAGCTACAAGGATGAAAAAACTTCCTGGAAAACAGCAAGTGCATCTCGAAACAAGAGGTTCGAAAACAAGAGGTACCACGCATCTGGTGGAAATTTTAAGACAGGCTTTAGTAAAATGAATATACGTGTAAATTTTCAGACAAAAATTCAAACACCTGCCAAGATTTAAGGATCTTTTCAACACTGTGTCATCTTAATTCCCTCAGGTGAGTTCTTTTTGCTTGTTATGTAAAGTTTCATTAAAAGAAGCGGTGTCTTAAGGAAATGAATCAATATTCTGAGGGAAGTATTCAACAGTAAAAATATTATCATGCAAGTAAAGGTTGCAATTTACGACGTGCATTAAAATGACTACCAAACCAAATGAAGATAGTGTTGCTCTTTACAAACAAAAACAATCTTTTGATGCCCTTTCGTTCTATAGTTCGTTTTGCTCAAGCGACTGAAGTTTAACAATTACTAAATTACTATTTAAAACTACTCGTGGCCATTTAAAAACTGAACATCTTCGTAATACCAGTGAGTCTAATGAGAACCGAAGATCTAACTCTTACTAAAGTGATTCTTCTAACTAAATATGCGATGAGCTGTGAGGAAAATCTCGAGTGGCGATCAAAATGTACTACCGAAGACGAAAAGCAAGCGAAGTGATCGAATTGCTTAAGAAGAGATAAAAATATATTTGTCAATATTCTAAAATTCAGATACAATGTAAGCACCTTCAAAGGCATTGTTTATAAGGAACAAAACATATGCTTCCTTCCAGCCTTGCTGGCTTGCTTTTGTAGAAAAAAGAATCCTTCCATAAAGAGGATTTTACGCTAGTACAAACCTTACCTGTAATCTTAAATTTAATAATTGATTGTTGCAATCTGCTGTCTCTGGTCCATTAAATGTATGTTGTTCAAGATTTTATTATCATATTTTTCTATGATCATGATTTCTATGTGGAAGAGAAGTAGATGTTTGTAAACCAAGTTCACTTGATAAACTTGAACACTGCTTTTTCCTGCAATCCGTTTTAGTACTGATGAAATCGTTGAAAATTATGGTTATTAGATGACCTGGGACATAAAATCGCAACATCGAACTTGAAGGTCACACTATGTCGGTCAGAGTGAAAAGGTACATTTTCTTGTGATCAAATTATAAGCACTTCTCAAAAGGACTGTCGTTGGTTGAAGACAAACAAACATTTTCCTACATATTGAATCATTTAGCCCCTAAAACACGAATTTACTATTCGGATGTTTTGCGGTGTCAGTTTCTCATGCGACCAAGCTCGTGTGAATTCAAGTGGTTCTCACTTAGTTCCGTGGATAAAACTTAAATGTTCAAATTAATTGAAAGCTATTGAGCAGTACTTTAACTATCTAGTATCTTGTGCTTACATTTCTGCTAAGTGATCATTATTATTTTCTTAATTTTGAACTAAGATATATTCTACACCATATAGTCCTTCTCAAGCTTGCTGTAAACTACAGAAAATGTCTCTTCGCTTGTTAGTTTAATAGAAGGTTGTCTTATTAAGTTCTACTGATTGTTATAAAGGGAAAAGAATAATCTGGGCCATACACTAAACTAAACTAAAGTGGCTTTCTTCTAGCCAAACTTAAGTGGTACGCAAACAACACGAAATAAAACGCACGCCGAGCTTAGGCAGTCGACCATAACTACAAAATGAAAATAAACGAGCAAACTCACAAGAATTAGAACCCACGAAATACCGAACGAACAACTTCAATACAAAGAAATTCAACTTCTTGTTATTCAATTGTAAAACCGCTAGAGAAATTTCACATCTTAATCTAGTTAACCGTACAGTTGTTGCTGGGTGTTAATGATGAAACAAGCGTCTGTTTATCGTTCAAGAAACGGTCACGCAATAAAAGCGATGTTATAGAATGTAAATTTTGCCCGAAATCAAAAAGCGAAATGTCGCATCAAAAGCTCGACACAAACTCGTACATTTGGTCTGTTAATACTACGGGTAACATACAGTATATGACTTGGATACCTCTGAACGTTTGAAGGAGAAAGCTTGCCATAAATTTCGATCATGCCAGACAGAATTCAACATGAAGCAAGTTGGATCTTTTGTGCTCCGTTCATAAAATGGCGATTATGATCACGCGCAATGCAACATCTCGCGTTTCAGATGCTATCTTTACTGTACAATCGCGTTTTGTTTCGCCACGTTTTGATAAAGAAGCATCATAAACTGAGGCAGCGACTTCTAGCTGTCTTGCACTGTACATACCCGCGTTGTAAGTAAACAACCAAACGTTTGAACTCGCATACAACACAGAAATTTTCCAACTTGTGTAAATATTCATTGCGCTCAACACAAGAACGCTTGAGTTTTGTGTTTCAGTTTGGGCGATTTTATGATTTTAAGAGCTTTTTTATTTTTAAACCGTAAGGTAATCGAGTTAAGCAATCGTCTTCTTTATTGGGAAAAGTGACTTAGTATGAAAATCTGTCAGTCTAATGGCGATAACAGTCATAAGTAAATGACAGAGATAAATTCTAGATATCACACGATTCGATTACGACTTTGCCTAAAACTTTGAATTTACAAGAAAGTGATTATGGTTTTCACAAAGTACAAACTATAAGGCTTCAGTAGTTTTAACTATCATGGTCAAATTGCTCCCGAAACGGACACAAAAAATAATTTTAATAATGCAATCGATGTGTTATTGATGTAAACATGCAGTAATGCACTCAGAATTTCAGGACAAAATACGAGCGCTTTCTACTTCTAATATCACGATTGCATATATCGATCGTTAAAGATATATCTACGAAACAACATTATCACAAATTGGACTGATTTTGTCCGTTTTGTTTAGTGTGAATTGTTTGGGTGCGTGTCTGTGAACACCAGATATCTAGGATATAACAATACAGCGTATAAATTCAGAACTTACTTTCTGACTTTCGGATACTTCATGTCCGCCAAGGAGTTGGTGGAATCTCGCTGTTGGTCAATAAGATGTTGCGGCCAAACTACATTGACCCAGTCCATTGTTCGAATCTAGGAAAAAATGAAAATCTTTTCAAAGCATATTCAGGCTATAAACTTTCTAGATTTAATTCGAGATTATGACTGTAAATGGAGAATTCACTCTCCAACTACGAGCAGCCTTTTTTAATTTTCACTCTGGTAAAAACTAAACCACATAATTTGCTACGCTGAACGTATTTCAGAAATACCAGCGGTTCCTTCCGTTATTTTAAGATGAAAAGAGAACCACTCGAAAAACAACGAAAAGAAGAATATCTCTTATGACATGATTAACGAGGAAAGTCTCAATATATCACTCATTGTCTACCAAGTCGAGTTTCTGTAAAGCAGTCATTCTTGTAAGTCGTAAATCTTAATTCTACGCTCTAAACTGGCTAAAAGAAGAAAAAACTAAAACCAAAGCCTAATTATTTCTAAATGTAACTTTCCACAGAATGGTGATTGGACTGAAAGGGTTTTTGGGGGGGTTATGGAGTCGATGGTTAAACTGCTAGACACGTGCACGACTCTCCCAGGTTTTCAGCCTTGGTTTCAAACTTGTAATTGGTAAGCTGGAGGTAATATAAAACAAAACTTCAAAATCGTGTTTTAACCTACATAGATAAACATTATCTGATCGTTTTTGAGCACAATGCAGTCGAATTTACTCTGATGGTTATTTCAAGTTAATTCATCACCCTCTCGCGCCGTGGAAATGGAGTTCTGTAATCTAATTACAATTACATTCTTGCTTCTCTGTGTATGTAATTTTAGTTAACGTGCTTTACTACAGTTCAATTGATTGTTTTCATTATCTGTTTTTTACTGCTGTTTGAGCGCAACGAAGACGGTACAATTAGCAAAATAATAAAAAATGTCTGGTACAAGATGTACAAGATTACAATTTAAAGGAAGTTACTTAGTGACTTTGATCAACTTTACGATACGCCCTTTCAAACGCGGCAGGGAAGTCAGGTTACAGATTCCATATATGATCAAATTGACGCTCAAAACTAGGTTGGATGTTCTACAATGAACTGAGCTAAGATGCTAAGCACAGTCTGACCAACAAGCAAAACTCTCTAGAACTGACGTTTGACAATAAGATTAACTTTTGAAGAGCGAATTGAAACAAAATTTTTAAGTTTTGGAGTTTTGAGGCCAGTGAAGAATGCGCCCGCCTGCTCGGTTAACACCCAAATGAAATGAAGGTCATCTATAGGCACTCTAAATCAAATTCTGAAACGGTACATTGGGGAGTTCGAAAATTCTCATTTCACAGAGGCGCACTCCCTATAAACTACGGTTTTCAAGTTAAATAACTTTGTACTTCACCATGTCGTTGTAATAGTGTACCGAAATAACACCACTTTAAGCTAAAATCTCCTTTTATAAGGACTTTGGCGACCAGTAATATTGTAACTTCGTAGACTGTGTAAACCATTTCTCAATCGGGTTGTACCTAACTCTTTCACAGCTACAGCAATTAATCCGAAATCACCCTGGTATTTAAGTCGCAAACATAGTGCTATGAAAGTCAAACTCTTATAAGTTGAAAGGCATTTTAAAACCGAAATTTTCGGTTTCGTTTGATTTCTTGCGGTCTTTCACCAAAAGGTGGTGACGAGTATGCCGCCATATTTACATAACTATGGCTTCACGAGACGCTCCGTGTTTTTTGCCGATATTCAAAACCTGTTCCAGCCTTCGGCTCGAAAAACATGCCAGAAAGCCGAGACAAGCTTCATTCTCCGATAATATGTGGACACATACGAAGAACAATGTGTCAAGAGATAGATTTAACCGTAAACACACGGTGCAACTTAGACTGTGCTGATTCATTACTAAACTGAATGACGCAGGCACGTCAATGCAGGGGAACTCGACACAAAATCCAGACTTATCACGCCAAAATTGTTAAACCATTACAAGCACGTGCATTTTAACAAACATTCCCTCCAAATGGCAGGAATTTCTTGGCTGTTAGAGGCTTTCTCGGGATGGTTTTTAACGATTTCTGGTTAAATGCCCTGCAGCCAGCCACAGTCGTTGCCTCATGGTCACGGCTTCTTATTTCCTTCAACACTACACCAAAACATTTATCACAATTAAAACACCGAAACGAAACGATTTTTCACAATCAGTCTCGAAAATAAATAAATAAATGAATGAATAGACAGGGAAAATAAGTCCAGTGTAGCCTGGCTTCTGGCTGGGTTCGTTATTTCGTAGGTTTGTTTTTAAAGGGCGTGTGGATAAAACACTCTTTGCTGAGCTCTCTGTAGCTAGTCTGCTGTCCTGTGACGTGGGGGTTTAGAGGACAAAATAAAAGCTTTTTTCTCTCCGTTCTTTTTTTTTTCAGTGCACTTGGTAAAAATCTGAAAGCACAAAACAATTCAATCAAAGTGAAAAGAGGTATCTCTATGTGGATTTTCTCTGTCGTTACAAACTGGGCTCGCGACCATTGTTAACATCACCGCATAAAGTGTTGAATCGTCACTTAGAACCCGAGATATTTATCAGTCCTAAAGAGTGATTATTTTGCTGAGAAGTTTCAATGAAAAATAACAGTAACTGAATTAAATGACATTTTTTAAGCTAACACGCGACCAATAATGAAAATTATACACATGCACCGAGCATAACTGAAACACTCAAACCAAACCATGCACAGGAAGAGGAAAATAACTCAAAGAAATCAAAATAATTTCCAAAAAATAACGGGCAAGACACATTTGCTCTCAATACATTAAAAAGTCAGCTATTCTTGAAAAAATGCTCACCACTTCTGGCGGTTCCACCAAGTCCTCCAGTTTGGTATGACTAAATTCCAAGCTTATTACATTGTAAATTTCCTCTCGGTCCTCACTTGTGAAATACTTTACCCACTGTTGTAAAGTCATTTCTAGGGCTTGCTGTGTGTTCACATCAATGACATCCACCATTCGCCGAGCTCCTAACCATTGTAAACACATAGGGTAGGCATGAGACTACCATACGTTCTGTAATGTCAGTGGATGTATATTTCAACGGCAAACACTTAGATTTCAAAGCTTACCAACAAAATTCTTTACATCTTCAACACTAAAGTCTTCCCGAGGAACCCTAAAATGGTCGTAGAATTCAGAGAAATCTAAGCTTCTAGCAATCACAACTGAGAAATTTCACAAGTTATAAAGAAAATCTCGCAGAACCCTACGAAGAGATAGCTTTTTTGTTGTGATATAAACAAAATAAGCTTACGTACCGCATATCTAGTCCGTCGGGGCTTTTAATTACAACCGGTGAGGTAAAGCCATTTTCTTGAATAAACTTTAGGGTAAATTCTATGATAGCAAAACAATGCAGTAAGCAAGGAGGTTTTCAATTAAGACATTTTATTCAGCAAAGAAATTCTTGTGACCCACCATCTCCGCTGAGACGCTTCACGAAATCTCCCTCGGCAAATTTTGTACTGTTTAGCTTTTCTTCCACGCTAAATGTGCGTTTCCCTTCAATAACATCATCCGCATCGTAGTTGTAATTCCTCCGGTTCTGCTTTCTCTGTGATAAATTGAGAAAATTTTATCGACAGCAGTTAGGAGAGCGGAAAGTGATCTTTCGCGATCTACGAAGTAACGCACAACTCGGCACGTTCACAGCTCTTTCGTACACGTTGTGACGAGTAAATTACTCAATATTTACCGGCCTCGAAAAATACCACCAAAACGAAAAGCAAATCACGGTTGCAAAATAAATCTACACACCAATCTGCGCTCTCCTTCAAATTCCCAAGCCATACTGCAAGACAGGTCAGTAGAAGTCACACATGAGAACCGAAATTTCGACGCGAATGACTCCGGATATATTCACTGCTCAGTTCACAACTTGAAGAAACAATGCACCAGGTCCCTTGGGATTGCTGCAGACCATAATAATAAGGCGCGTGTGCATACACCAAGTATCTAGTGACATTACCATGGCAACTGTCACGTTTCAAAGAGGTTAAAAGAAGCGGTGTCTTAAGGAAATGAATCAATATTCTGAGGGAAGTATTCAACAGTAAAAATATTATCATGCAAGTAAAGGTTGCAATTTACGACGTGCATTAAAATGACTACCAAACCAAATGAAGATAGTGTTGCTCTTTACAAACAAAAACAATCTTTTGATGCCCTTTCGTTCTATAGTTCGTTTTGCTCAAGCGACTGAAGTTTAACAATTACTAAATTACTATTTAAAACTACTCGTGGCCATTTAAAAACTGAACATCTTCGTAATACCAGTGAGTCTAATGAGAACCGAAGATCTAACTCTTACTAAAGTGATTCTTCTAACTAAATATGCGATGAGCTGTGAGGAAAATCTCGAGTGGCGATCAAAATGTACTACCGAAGACGAAAAGCAAGCGAAGTGATCGAATTGCTTAAGAAGAGATAAAAATATATTTGTCAATATTCTAAAATTCAGATACAATGTAAGCACCTTCAAAGGCATTGTTTATAAGGAACAAAACATATGCTTCCTTCCAGCCTTGCTGGCTTGCTTTTGTAGAAAAAAGAATCCTTCCATAAAGAGGATTTTACGCTAGTACAAACCTTACCTGTAATCTTAAATTTAATAATTGATTGTTGCAATCTGCTGTCTCTGGTCCATTAAATGTATGTTGTTCAAGATTTTATTATCATATTTTTCTATGATCATGATTTCTATGTGGAAGAGAAGTAGATGTTTGTAAACCAAGTTCACTTGATAAACTTGAACACTGCTTTTTCCTGCAATCCGTTTTAGTACTGATGAAATCGTTGAAAATTATGGTTATTAGATGACCTGGGACATAAAATCGCAACATCGAACTTGAAGGTCACACTATGTCGGTCAGAGTGAAAAGGTACATTTTCTTGTGATCAAATTATAAGCACTTCTCAAAAGGACTGTCGTTGGTTGAAGACAAACAAACATTTTCCTACATATTGAATCATTTAGCCCCTAAAACACGAATTTACTATTCGGATGTTTTGCGGTGTCAGTTTCTCATGCGACCAAGCTCGTGTGAATTCAAGTGGTTCTCACTTAGTTCCGTGGATAAAACTTAAATGTTCAAATTAATTGAAAGCTATTGAGCAGTACTTTAACTATCTAGTATCTTGTGCTTACATTTCTGCTAAGTGATCATTATTATTTTCTTAATTTTGAACTAAGATATATTCTACACCATATAGTCCTTCTCAAGCTTGCTGTAAACTACAGAAAATGTCTCTTCGCTTGTTAGTTTAATAGAAGGTTGTCTTATTAAGTTCTACTGATTGTTATAAAGGGAAAAGAATAATCTGGGCCATACACTAAACTAAACTAAAGTGGCTTTCTTCTAGCCAAACTTAAGTGGTACGCAAACAACACGAAATAAAACGCACGCCGAGCTTAGGCAGTCGACCATAACTACAAAATGAAAATAAACGAGCAAACTCACAAGAATTAGAACCCACGAAATACCGAACGAACAACTTCAATACAAAGAAATTCAACTTCTTGTTATTCAATTGTAAAACCGCTAGAGAAATTTCACATCTTAATCTAGTTAACCGTACAGTTGTTGCTGGGTGTTAATGATGAAACAAGCGTCTGTTTATCGTTCAAGAAACGGTCACGCAATAAAAGCGATGTTATAGAATGTAAATTTTGCCCGAAATCAAAAAGCGAAATGTCGCATCAAAAGCTCGACACAAACTCGTACATTTGGTCTGTTAATACTACGGGTAACATACAGTATATGACTTGGATACCTCTGAACGTTTGAAGGAGAAAGCTTGCCATAAATTTCGATCATGCCAGACAGAATTCAACATGAAGCAAGTTGGATCTTTTGTGCTCCGTTCATAAAATGGCGATTATGATCACGCGCAATGCAACATCTCGCGTTTCAGATGCTATCTTTACTGTACAATCGCGTTTTGTTTCGCCACGTTTTGATAAAGAAGCATCATAAACTGAGGCAGCGACTTCTAGCTGTCTTGCACTGTACATACCCGCGTTGTAAGTAAACAACCAAACGTTTGAACTCGCATACAACACAGAAATTTTCCAACTTGTGTAAATATTCATTGCGCTCAACACAAGAACGCTTGAGTTTTGTGTTTCAGTTTGGGCGATTTTATGATTTTAAGAGCTTTTTTATTTTTAAACCGTAAGGTAATCGAGTTAAGCAATCGTCTTCTTTATTGGGAAAAGTGACTTAGTATGAAAATCTGTCAGTCTAATGGCGATAACAGTCATAAGTAAATGACAGAGATAAATTCTAGATATCACACGATTCGATTACGACTTTGCCTAAAACTTTGAATTTACAAGAAAGTGATTATGGTTTTCACAAAGTACAAACTATAAGGCTTCAGTAGTTTTAACTATCATGGTCAAATTGCTCCCGAAACGGACACAAAAAATAATTTTAATAATGCAATCGATGTGTTATTGATGTAAACATGCAGTAATGCACTCAGAATTTCAGGACAAAATACGAGCGCTTTCTACTTCTAATATCACGATTGCATATATCGATCGTTAAAGATATATCTACGAAACAACATTATCACAAATTGGACTGATTTTGTCCGTTTTGTTTAGTGTGAATTGTTTGGGTGCGTGTCTGTGAACACCAGATATCTAGGATATAACAATACAGCGTATAAATTCAGAACTTACTTTCTGACTTTCGGATACTTCATGTCCGCCAAGGAGTTGGTGGAATCTCGCTGTTGGTCAATAAGATGTTGCGGCCAAACTACATTGACCCAGTCCATTGTTCGAATCTAGGAAAAAATGAAAATCTTTTCAAAGCATATTCAGGCTATAAACTTTCTAGATTTAATTCGAGATTATGACTGTAAATGGAGAATTCACTCTCCAACTACGAGCAGCCTTTTTTAATTTTCACTCTGGTAAAAACTAAACCACATAATTTGCTACGCTGAACGTATTTCAGAAATACCAGCGGTTCCTTCCGTTATTTTAAGATGAAAAGAGAACCACTCGAAAAACAACGAAAAGAAGAATATCTCTTATGACATGATTAACGAGGAAAGTCTCAATATATCACTCATTGTCTACCAAGTCGAGTTTCTGTAAAGCAGTCATTCTTGTAAGTCGTAAATCTTAATTCTACGCTCTAAACTGGCTAAAAGAAGAAAAAACTAAAACCAAAGCCTAATTATTTCTAAATGTAACTTTCCACAGAATGGTGATTGGACTGAAAGGGTTTTTGGGGGGGTTATGGAGTCGATGGTTAAACTGCTAGACACGTGCACGACTCTCCCAGGTTTTCAGCCTTGGTTTCAAACTTGTAATTGGTAAGCTGGAGGTAATATAAAACAAAACTTCAAAATCGTGTTTTAACCTACATAGATAAACATTATCTGATCGTTTTTGAGCACAATGCAGTCGAATTTACTCTGATGGTTATTTCAAGTTAATTCATCACCCTCTCGCGCCGTGGAAATGGAGTTCTGTAATCTAATTACAATTACATTCTTGCTTCTCTGTGTATGTAATTTTAGTTAACGTGCTTTACTACAGTTCAATTGATTGTTTTCATTATCTGTTTTTTACTGCTGTTTGAGCGCAACGAAGACGGTACAATTAGCAAAATAATAAAAAATGTCTGGTACAAGATGTACAAGATTACAATTTAAAGGAAGTTACTTAGTGACTTTGATCAACTTTACGATACGCCCTTTCAAACGCGGCAGGGAAGTCAGGTTACAGATTCCATATATGATCAAATTGACGCTCAAAACTAGGTTGGATGTTCTACAATGAACTGAGCTAAGATGCTAAGCACAGTCTGACCAACAAGCAAAACTCTCTAGAACTGACGTTTGACAATAAGATTAACTTTTGAAGAGCGAATTGAAACAAAATTTTTAAGTTTTGGAGTTTTGAGGCCAGTGAAGAATGCGCCCGCCTGCTCGGTTAACACCCAAATGAAATGAAGGTCATCTATAGGCACTCTAAATCAAATTCTGAAACGGTACATTGGGGAGTTCGAAAATTCTCATTTCACAGAGGCGCACTCCCTATAAACTACGGTTTTCAAGTTAAATAACTTTGTACTTCACCATGTCGTTGTAATAGTGTACCGAAATAACACCACTTTAAGCTAAAATCTCCTTTTATAAGGACTTTGGCGACCAGTAATATTGTAACTTCGTAGACTGTGTAAACCATTTCTCAATCGGGTTGTACCTAACTCTTTCACAGCTACAGCAATTAATCCGAAATCACCCTGGTATTTAAGTCGCAAACATAGTGCTATGAAAGTCAAACTCTTATAAGTTGAAAGGCATTTTAAAACCGAAATTTTCGGTTTCGTTTGATTTCTTGCGGTCTTTCACCAAAAGGTGGTGACGAGTATGCCGCCATATTTACATAACTATGGCTTCACGAGACGCTCCGTGTTTTTTGCCGATATTCAAAACCTGTTCCAGCCTTCGGCTCGAAAAACATGCCAGAAAGCCGAGACAAGCTTCATTCTCCGATAATATGTGGACACATACGAAGAACAATGTGTCAAGAGATAGATTTAACCGTAAACACACGGTGCAACTTAGACTGTGCTGATTCATTACTAAACTGAATGACGCAGGCACGTCAATGCAGGGGAACTCGACACAAAATCCAGACTTATCACGCCAAAATTGTTAAACCATTACAAGCACGTGCATTTTAACAAACATTCCCTCCAAATGGCAGGAATTTCTTGGCTGTTAGAGGCTTTCTCGGGATGGTTTTTAACGATTTCTGGTTAAATGCCCTGCAGCCAGCCACAGTCGTTGCCTCATGGTCACGGCTTCTTATTTCCTTCAACACTACACCAAAACATTTATCACAATTAAAACACCGAAACGAAACGATTTTTCACAATCAGTCTCGAAAATAAATAAATAAATGAATGAATAGACAGGGAAAATAAGTCCAGTGTAGCCTGGCTTCTGGCTGGGTTCGTTATTTCGTAGGTTTGTTTTTAAAGGGCGTGTGGATAAAACACTCTTTGCTGAGCTCTCTGTAGCTAGTCTGCTGTCCTGTGACGTGGGGGTTTAGAGGACAAAATAAAAGCTTTTTTCTCTCCGTTCTTTTTTTTTTCAGTGCACTTGGTAAAAATCTGAAAGCACAAAACAATTCAATCAAAGTGAAAAGAGGTATCTCTATGTGGATTTTCTCTGTCGTTACAAACTGGGCTCGCGACCATTGTTAACATCACCGCATAAAGTGTTGAATCGTCACTTAGAACCCGAGATATTTATCAGTCCTAAAGAGTGATTATTTTGCTGAGAAGTTTCAATGAAAAATAACAGTAACTGAATTAAATGACATTTTTTAAGCTAACACGCGACCAATAATGAAAATTATACACATGCACCGAGCATAACTGAAACACTCAAACCAAACCATGCACAGGAAGAGGAAAATAACTCAAAGAAATCAAAATAATTTCCAAAAAATAACGGGCAAGACACATTTGCTCTCAATACATTAAAAAGTCAGCTATTCTTGAAAAAATGCTCACCACTTCTGGCGGTTCCACCAAGTCCTCCAGTTTGGTATGACTAAATTCCAAGCTTATTACATTGTAAATTTCCTCTCGGTCCTCACTTGTGAAATACTTTACCCACTGTTGTAAAGTCATTTCTAGGGCTTGCTGTGTGTTCACATCAATGACATCCACCATTCGCCGAGCTCCTAACCATTGTAAACACATAGGGTAGGCATGAGACTACCATACGTTCTGTAATGTCAGTGGATGTATATTTCAACGGCAAACACTTAGATTTCAAAGCTTACCAACAAAATTCTTTACATCTTCAACACTAAAGTCTTCCCGAGGAACCCTAAAATGGTCGTAGAATTCAGAGAAATCTAAGCTTCTAGCAATCACAACTGAGAAATTTCACAAGTTATAAAGAAAATCTCGCAGAACCCTACGAAGAGATAGCTTTTTTGTTGTGATATAAACAAAATAAGCTTACGTACCGCATATCTAGTCCGTCGGGGCTTTTAATTACAACCGGTGAGGTAAAGCCATTTTCTTGAATAAACTTTAGGGTAAATTCTATGATAGCAAAACAATGCAGTAAGCAAGGAGGTTTTCAATTAAGACATTTTATTCAGCAAAGAAATTCTTGTGACCCACCATCTCCGCTGAGACGCTTCACGAAATCTCCCTCGGCAAATTTTGTACTGTTTAGCTTTTCTTCCACGCTAAATGTGCGTTTCCCTTCAATAACATCATCCGCATCGTAGTTGTAATTCCTCCGGTTCTGCTTTCTCTGTGATAAATTGAGAAAATTTTATCGACAGCAGTTAGGAGAGCGGAAAGTGATCTTTCGCGATCTACGAAGTAACGCACAACTCGGCACGTTCACAGCTCTTTCGTACACGTTGTGACGAGTAAATTACTCAATATTTACCGGCCTCGAAAAATACCACCAAAACGAAAAGCAAATCACGGTTGCAAAATAAATCTACACACCAATCTGCGCTCTCCTTCAAATTCCCAAGCCATACTGCAAGACAGGTCAGTAGAAGTCACACATGAGAACCGAAATTTCGACGCGAATGACTCCGGATATATTCACTGCTCAGTTCACAACTTGAAGAAACAATGCACCAGGTCCCTTGGGATTGCTGCAGACCATAATAATAAGGCGCGTGTGCATACACCAAGTATCTAGTGACATTACCATGGCAACTGTCACGTTTCAAAGAGGCAAATAATTCGTCTTGTAAATATGCATCTCGACCCTTCATTGCTAGGTTCCCCTGAGTATTTTAACCTGCATAAAAAGCATAACTCTCAGCCGATATAGCGCATTCAAAAGAGTTCAAGCAAAGATCAACCAGACAGATCAACCAAAGGCTTTTGCCGTGTTCTGGCTGATTTTGAATCCGTCATTCTACCATCCTGTCAAAAATTTCCTTCTTCTTCTTCTTATCATTGACCTGCCGCATGCCGTTAGACCACTTATGGTAAGAGAGGTTTCTCAGACGCCCAAGCGTGACTCCACGCGAGCCAAGTCGTTTCGCGCTCGGATGATTTTGAAAAAAATAGCATTTATGCCCAAGATGCCAAAATGCCGCAATATCAAATTCGTCGCGCGTGGAGGAGGTAGCCTTGCGTGACAGCTAAAAAGGCATGGCGGAATAGTGCCTCCGCTGAATTGGGAGACTATGGAAAAAGGTTCTGGTGCGAAAATCGAGGAAATGTAGAAATCTAATTGTTTCAATAGTACGGCCCTACTGAAGAGCTTTTTTTCTTACATTAAAATGTACTTCACATCTCTTGACACTGGATCAACTAAGCCATCCCAACCGGTTTATAAGGAAATTCTCCTCCCATCTTAACGCGTAAAGCTTCTTTTTGTCTTCTTAACATGAACTTAAAACGAGAGCTGTAGTCGCCGGAGGATTGTTTTCTGAAAGATATCTCTGGTTCCCTTGGCCAAAACTTGCATAAGAATTCTAGCGAATTTCAGGAAGTATACCACATTTACTATAAAAAGCCCCCATTCCCCTATGGCCTCATCTGCGGCCCCGACATGACAACAGAAATGCTAATAAGCGTCTGCCGCGAATAAGCCGACAACCCCTCCCCCCCCCCCAATAATTTGGCACGTTTCCCCATGTTTCTGTTTTCTATTTGTTGGACTTACTCGTTGGCGAACTGTAATTTAGATCTAAAGCGCATTTTACTTGACTAGTTGCTGATAGGCGCATTAATTTTGGCAGGAAAACATTCTAGAGAAGCTTTCGTCCGTTCTTGTGGAGGATGACGAGGCGTTTCCGCGCCGAAGCGCCATAGAATGTTTCACAGTGTGGATAACAAATCGGCATTCGATGATAGCACGAATCCTTTGCTCTAGGAAACCGGCGAAAGACCAATCGCAGACCGAAGGATTTCCGACGTCTGACGAGGGTCATGATTTAGGAGTCGGCAACCAATCGGAAGCTACCAAAACACCATCGGGATTTGAAATTGGACCAAGCGTTTGTCGTGCTTGTCGGGATTTTGACTGGGAAGTAAAACTGCGTGGGTTTGAATTTTGGGAAGCTGTCATAGATTACTTTACCGAGTTCAAAACCAACAGGGAAAGCGCTGGCAGGGATAAAGCGAAATCGTTTTCTGGAGAAGTATTAGACTGTCACGCCAGTAATGATGGAAGTTTGCAAGAAGAAGGCATTGAGAAGTGCTTTCAGATTCTTTTTGAAATGGGAGCGTTGAGTGTCCTCAGTGAAGAGCTAAATGATTGCGACCACATGGTGTGCGAGAAAGCTCTCGAAGTACTAGCTACCTTGCAGCGTGTTGCGTATCGCGAATTCCCTACCGAGGAGCGATGTGTGAAGACCTCGCGGGATTTCCAAGAAACTCTAGGGAAAGGGTTTGGTTTGGAGAAGTTTAAGGAAGTTTTACAAGCGACGGATATCCCGGCGTTGGTTCAGTCATGTGAAGCGGCTGACAATGCGATCAGATCAGATCCAGTGTCATTGATAGAGGACATTCTTTCAGCGGCTGAACACCACGACGAGAATTTGTTGGATTGTTACTGATTTCCACCTGTATTCTATCGTTACAAAAACCGACCTTAATAAAGTTCAGCTGAACAGCGCAGTTCTGTCTTTTCCTTGGTTGTTAGTGACGAATAGGTGACTTTCGTTTTGAATCAAGTTTATACTTACCTTGACTGGTAAGGTTCGGTAAGGTGTTGCCTGGCTCCTAGGCCTCAATATTTTACCGCGGTCTCATTCCGTGGCCGATCGTCTTGGGAACTAGGTCACCGCAATTAACCGTGAAGGCCTGGGAGAACCTTTTTGTCAAAATGCGAATTAGCTGAGATCAGAATACTGGGATTTAAAGTCAATTTTAACATGAAATGTTCTTGAGAAGATGATTATTACTCTGTCAGTGACAAAGGCGTTTTCGGGAAAAACTTTCTGAGTACGCCCGTGTTACTGACAGAAAAATCAGGTCATATGTTTACCAGCCCAACAATTGCCTGAGAGCGCGCGCTAAGTAATAAAATGAACAATGATAGGGCAGATGACCATTGCTATAGCTTCAACGATCTTGGACGTTCGGTAACCTTTATTTTTCTTTTGATGGATCATTT